GGAGTTCAAGACCTGACCAATATGGTGAAACCTTGTCTTTACTAAAAAAAAAATACAAAAATTAGCCAGGCGTGGTGGTGCATGCCTGTAATCCCAGCTACTCAGGAGGCTGAGGCACGAGAATCACTTGAACCCGGGAGGCAGAGGTTGTGGTGAGCCGAGATTGCACCCCTGCACTCCAGCCTGGGTGACAGAGCAAGACTCCGTCTCAAAAAAAAAAAAACCCACACACATTATCAAGCATGTTGCAGTAGGTGATGGGGGTTCGGGGGATATCTGGGAAGCATACACAGCATCTGCCATGGTCCACCTGCAGGCTGGGGGAGCTGAAGAATGCCCTCATTAGTTGAGGGTTGGCCCTGGGGACATTTACTCTCCCTCATTTCCAGGTTGAACTTTCTCAGATGAGGAATGCCCCCCACACACATACACACACCAGGGAAGACTCTGGGGCAGAATGTGTTTGTTACCCTTAAAGTGGCACTCTGGTCGTGTAAGTTGAATCTGAGCTCACAGGGAACTTGGGGAGCTGTCCAGCAAACTGGTGCTGAAGTCAGGCATAGGCTGGGTTCAGGGACACGGGCATCAGCAGCATCTATCTGTCCCTCATGAAAAGTTCATATTTATAATAAAATCTAATCATTATGTTCCAACATGACCACTGTAAAACTGTCCTCCTTTTCGTGGCATAGATGGGACCTCTAATTATGCAAAATTTTGCATGTCATTTTTAAAAACAGCTTTGTTGAGATAGTATTAATATACCATACAATTCACCTATTTAAAGTGAACAATTCAATGGTTTTCATGTTTTTTAGTATTTTCAATAACGACTAATGATCTTGAGTCTTTTTTCATGTGCTTTTTGGACATGTGATATCTTCCTTGGTAAAATGTCTATTCAAATCCTTTGCTGCTTATCTTTAAATTGGGCTATTTTTCTTTTTGTTATGATATTAAATTGTAAGTGTTCTCTATATATTCCAGATATACATCCCTTATCAGATATCTCATTTGCAATTACTTTCTCCCATTCTGTGTGTTGTCCTCTCATTTTTGTGGCATCTTTTAAAATAACAAAAGTTGTTAATTTTGAGGAAGCCCATTTCACTTTTTTTTTTTGGAGATAGAGTCTCACTCTGTTGCCCAGGCTGGAGTGCAGTGGCACAATCTCGGCTCAAAACAACCTCTGCTTCTCAGATTCAAGCAATTCTCCTGTCTCAGCCTCCTGAGTAGCTGGGATTACAGGCATGCACCACCACACCTAGCCAATTTTTATATTTTTAGTAAAGACAGGGTCTTGCCATGTTGGCCAGGCTGGTCTTGAACTCCTGACCTCAGGTGATCTGCCGACCTCAGACTCTGAAAGGGCTAGGATTACAGGTGTGAGCCACTACATGCAGCCCACATTTTTTTTCTCTTGTCGCTTGGGCTTTTGAGAGTGGGGAAGGAGTGCTGAACCCTGTCAGCTTGTCAGCGAGGAGAGAGGGTGGTAAACTGGTGTATGAAATTTAAAGAAAGCTGTAATAAGAAATAGTTGACATTTAAGCTGGATCTTGAAGAATAAGGAGGGTATGCCAGGCACAAAATTGAGGAAGAGCTTTTCAGGCACAGAGATCATCTGGGTGGATTTTGTCCTAGAATAAGAATCTTCTTGTTACAGTTTATTATAACTGATTCAAAACAAACACCCCCACATATGCCAACAACATATGGTAAACACTGACGGAAACTGTCATGTCTTGCAACTGTTATTAATAAAGCCAATTCATTTATACAAGATTCAATTAAAATGTAATGCTGCATCTGTGCAACTCCCCCAGGAAAGTGGGGAGTGGTGCTTGTAGAGGACCAAATGAACACTCAGTAGTGATGATGATACCTCCGAGGACACAGGTTTTAAGTGCTAGGTCCTAACTGCTCTCTTTGAAGGCTGCACAAGACGAGAGAATGAAAGCAGGAAAATGTGGTCTGAACTCAGTGCATGCTAAGCACAGAGCAGGAAAAGACATAGTAGATAATGAATGGTGCCTGCCTTATAGTTTAGCTTTACACGTACGACTAGTGCCCTTGAAACCACAGCCTGGATGTGACTGCGAGGGTGAGAGAAGTTCCCAGAATGATTAAGAATGTGTTTTTTTTTTTTCCAACTTGGAAGAATGGTGGATTGGTATCAGAAATTAAGTTGTTCTGCTGAAAATAAACAGAAGTAGAAGTGTATATTCAGGGCAACTCAAACTCATGCTCTTGACAAAAATGTTTTTTAAAAAAGCAAATAAACAGAAGTATTTGTCCTGCCCCTCAATTCATAGACTGAAACTCAAACTGAAATGTATTTTTTATTTTAGCAAAAACTGCCAAATACTAGAAATGCATCACAAATACTAGAAATGCATGACAGTGTCTTCCCAAAAAATTTAGCATCTTGTTACTTCTTGTCAATCTAGCTGGGAAAATTATATTAAAATCTCATTCTGACTTGCATTTCCCCGACATCCCAAAAGACTTCATATCTTTTCATATTTATTAATCATTTGCATTTCCTCTTCAGTAAATTGTTATCTATATCCTTTACCCAATTTTCTTAGAGGCAATTTATCTTTTTCTTATTAATGTGAAAGTAGTCTTTGTATATAAGAGATAGTAACTTTACCTATAGCAAATGTTTTCATCCTGTTTTTCTTTTAACTCAGTTCATGGTGCTTTTCCATACTAAATTTTGGATTGCTCATCTTGCTTAAGATATCTCTACCCCAAGGATCCTAAATTTTGTTCCATTTACATATGCATCTTTTTAATATTTCTCACACATACACACACATACATAGTTACATGGACAGATGGATCATTAATTCATCTAGAGAGAGAGAGAGAATACAGCTGAGAAAACTCTATATTCTAAACACTTTAGAATATTTCTAAAGTGTTTTCTGAGCTCATATGAACTACAAATGGAATCTAATAACATGGACCAAGTGTTAAACCATACTTCCAAGAGCAACTCTACATTAGTAGACCACCTGCTAACTTCTGCCTTTCACATTTTCCAGCTTAAAACAGCTCCATCCTCCCCATTATGTGAGAAAGAAGTAGAAGCGTTTCTGACTGCTCCCTCTCCTGTGATCCCATAATCCATCAGTTTTGAAGCTGCACTATCCAACCTCCTGAATATTCTCTGACCACCCTCCAAGTCCCCATGGCCACTCCCTTGCTCCAGCCCACCATCATCTCACCCTGGGTCTTTGCAGCACCCTGTGTCCCGGACTCCCTGGCCTACATGCTCATTCTTTCTAATTCATTCTCCACCCTACAACAAGGAATATATTTTTTTTTTGAGACGGAGTTTCACTGTTGTTACCCAGACTGGAGTGCAATGGCGCAATCTCAGCTCACCGCAACCTCCGCCTCCTGTGTTCAAGTAATTCTCCTGCCTCAGCCTCCCGAGTAGCTGGGACTACAGGCGCGCACCACCATGCCCAGCTAATTTTTGTATTTTTAGTAGAGACGGAGTTTTACCTTGTTAACCAGGATGGTCTCGATCTCTTGACCTCATTATCCATCTGCCTAGGAATATTTCTAAAATGCACACCCCATCTCATTCCTGTGCTATCTACATTTCTTCCACAGCCCCCACTGCCATGAAGGTGCTGTCCAAGGTATTGTTCCCACATCTGGCTGAGGCTGTCCTTCAGGATTCAGGCACTTCTCACCTTTTAAAGAAACATTTACAGCTTCATTTCTCAGATTGTGTCTCCCATTTCCATGCACTGACCAGAGCAGACCACTTTCAGTGCTTCAAAAAGCCCAAGATTCTTTTTCAGTGGAGCTCAGCTGTGACTATGCCCCAGCTCACCTGTCAAAAATCGCAAACACACTTGTCCAGGTCTTACACCTGGGTGATTCTGACTCCAGGGGTCAGGTGGGATTCCCATATCCACAATCTGTGATAAGTCCTATGGCCAGGGTGCTCTCTGCCTCCAGGCTGCAGGCGTGTGATTCCCTCTGCCTGAAGTCCTCTTCTACCCCCTCCAGCTCCAGCCCCCATCCCAAACTAGATATGGCCTCTTCCTCCTTGAAGTCAAAGCATAGGTGCTCCTTCCTCCAGGAATTTTCCTCGACCGTCCAGGATAGGGCTCTTCCTCTTTGCATCACTGGTTTCCTGGATTTTCCTAATTCAAGCATTCATTGATTCTTCTTCTTCCACCCCAAACTCTGAGTTCGGGGAAGCCTGAGACAGTGGGTGCTGTCTTGCTCACCACTGTATTCCCTGCACCTCAGCAGAGACCTGATACATAGTAGGCACTCAATAAATCTTTGCTAAACAGCAACAACAACAGCAAATGAATGAATAAACAAATGAACAGATGAGTGGCTGCCTGTGGCAGTTTCCATGACAAACACAAAAGGCTCAGCCAAGCCAGCAAGCAGACAGCAGTGTGGCCTGCAGAGGGCACCAGTCTACTTCTTAATCTCCGGGCAAAATGCTCAGGGCCAGACACCTGCTGTCAGTCAGAGAGGTGCCCGATGCTCAGTGGTCATTCTGCTGCACTGAAGATTAAGTAGGAGTTGTTTGCCCTTTGCCAATATAAAAAACCTGAGTGTTCTCTCTTCACTTCTAGCAACAGGTTACACATCCCCTGTCTTCCCATGAAAAGAGCTGTAACTGTAGCAACCGGTGGCAGGTTTTCTGTTCCCAGATGGGAAAGTGAGGAGAGACAAAGAGAGGGGTAAGAGGGAGACAGAAAGAAGACAGCTGGTAAGAGACCCTACGATATCTTTTTTCTATGTAAACATGGTAAAAACTGCTCCTCCTGGAAGAGCAAAGTTCTCTGTATGTCTCCAAGCTACTAACTTGCTTGCTACTAACTAGCTACTCTCTCTTGCTCCCTCTCTGTCTTCCCCCCTTCTCTCTCTCTTCTTCTCTGTGTGTACATCCCTGTCTCTTCCCCCTCCCCTCACTATCTCTCTCTCTTCCCTCCCATCCTTTTATTCTAGGGGAGAACAAAATCTAAGTCCAGATCGAACGAGCATCCAAAAGAAGTATCTGGAGGGAGATTTTTTTCTTTCCTGTGAGCAGCAACAGCTTCCTACGGACCCTGCTGGAGCCCCAGCTCGGATTAGCCCTTCAGACAGCAATGAATGCTTCCTGCTGCCTGCTCTCTGCTCAGCCAGCGCTGCTTAATGGCTCAGAGCACCTGCAAGCCCCTTCCTTCAGCAACCAGAGCAGCAGTGCATTCTGCGAGCAGGTCTTTATCAAGCCCGAGGTTTTCCTGACCCTAGGCATCATCAGTCTGCTGGAAAACATCCTGGTTATCCTGGCCGTGGTCAGGAACAGCAACCTGCACTCCCCAATGTACTTCTTCCTCTGCAGCCTGGCTGTGGCCGACATGCTGGTAAGTGTGTCCAATGCCCTGGAGACCATCATGATCGCCATTGTCCACAGCGACTACCTGACCTTGGAGGACCAGTTCATCCAGCACATGGACAACATCTTTGACTCCATGATCTGCATTTCACTGGTGGCCTCCATCTGCAACCTCCTGGCCATCGCCGTTGACAGGTACGTCACCATCTTCTACGCGCTCCGCTACCACAGCATCATGACTGTGAGGAAGGCCCTCACCTTGATCGTGGCCATCTGGGTCTGCTGCGGCATCTGTGGTGTGGTGTTCATCATCTACTCAGAGAGCAAGATGGTCATCGTGTGCCTCATCACCATGTTCTTCGCCATGATGCTCCTCATGGGCACCCTTTACGTGCACATGTTCCTCTTCGCGCGGCTGCACGTCAAGCGTATAGCGGCACTGCCACCTGCCGACGGGGCGGCCCCACAACAGCACTCGTGCATGAAGGGGGCAGTCACCATCACCATCCTCCTGGGCGTGTTCATCTTCTGCTGGGCCCCCTTCTTCCTCCACCTGGTCCTCATCATCACCTGCCCCACCAACCCCTACTGCATCTGCTACACTGCCCACTTCAACACCTACCTGGTTCTGATCATGTGCAACTCCATCATCGACCCGCTCATCTACGCCTTCCGGAGCCTGGAACTGCGCAACACCTTCAAGGAGATTCTCTGTGGCTGCAATGGCATGAACTTGGGATAGGATGCAGGGCCATGGAGATGATCATTAGTAGGGTCACTTTTGACCCTCCATCCAGCCAAGATGTTCAGAAAGAAAAAATATATACTTAGAAGATATAAATATGTGTTGACAGCCACGATTGTACCTGTCTTTTGTTTTTAAGGTTATAAAGGCTTTTAAAGGGGAAAATGGTGAATAACAGGCTCTCTGAAAGGATTCCAAAGTGGGTAAGTCAAAAACTCTGATTTCCCAAATAGTCACTGGGAGAAATCAGTGAAGGCTTCTTTGCATGCTCCTTGCACTCATTCCCAAACACCTAGGGTGTGTGACGCCTGTCTGCTCATCTGCTCCACATCCACGTCTTCACGCTCCAGGCCAGACCAGACTGAAGGATTCTCATGAATCAGACTGGTTCAGATCTCTTGCAAGCAAACCTGTTACAGCTATGACCTCCTGCTGCTGGCTACATGGATACATGGTTTTGCACTTATAACTCCATAGGAGACTGAGTTCTACTCTGTTATTCTATTTACAGTGAGACAACTGTCTCTTTCAGAAAGGAGCAATGCTATGCCACTTTCCCCTTTTCTTACCTACACACCCCTTCATTTGCTCCCACCCCCAAAGGCAGCATGAGGATGCAGCCCACTTCTATTTTTCTGTTGTTGTGTTGGTGTTTGTTATTGCTGTTTTGTTTTTATGGATTAGGTCTAAGACAACCTTCAAAACGCTAACAAAGGAAAGTGCTTTGGACAATCAGAACATACCTGTGTAATTGTATTGATACCTTGTTATTTTAAGGTGTAAATTACTCTTTTTAAAATAACTTCTTTTTTCTATTATTTATTTTCTCCCTTTAAAACAAGAAAGGAGATCGTGTGGGGGGTACATGTGTATATATATATATATATATATATATAGGTACATATACATCTCACAAGAAATTGCTTTACTGTAGCTTAAGATAGTTTGAGAAACTGTAGAACCACTGTGTGGCTTTCTTGGGAACCCTTGTTTTTGCTTATAATAATTGCATTTCTATCACAGGACTTCTTCAACGCTATCTATGAAAGAGAAAGTCTTTTTGGCTCTTTTCTCCTTTTGCTTGAGTGACCCTGTTATCAGCATCTATACCTTGTCAAGTACAGGAATTCATTCCTGGGAGCACAGGGTGAGATTAGCTGACTAGCACTAAGCACTGTCAGATCCTTTTCTGCCCTAGATAACTTCAGTTTGTGCTTTCTGGCTGTCCTCATAGCTCCCTGTGTCATAAATTCTTATATTAAGCTGTGTCTTGGGGTGCAGTTGTGTGCTTATCTTGTGTTAGAATAGATTAGGGGGTTTTGTACATGAAGCTTTTCTGTTAATGTAAGCAAAATCATTCCTTTCTTGCTTTGATTATGATATTTAGAAAGAATAAAAAGCTTTTGTGGCTTCCCAATGTGTGTTACACTGAAGTTCACCACCTGGAATCATTCTGGTGACTCCTGCTCACGGCCGTCATATGTTACACTGCAATTCAGTGATGACTTGAAGTGGCATGAACAGCCCCATGGATCACACTGCTAGTCTTTTCTAGGGCAGTGCCTTTTAGCCAAACTACAAAACCCTGCCATTTAGTTTCCAAAAATACCAGGTTTATGGCTCCCAGTCCACTGTCATTTCCCATTATATTCACCAAGACAATAAATTACAGGACTTTTCCATGGTCACTGAGTGGGTAAATGTGGAGAATGGGGAATCTAATTATTTGAAAGTGGTATGAGTAATTATAGGGATTATGATGTCTTTTTTCTATGTAAACAAGATAAAAATAAGTTACTTTTTACTCATATATCAGTTTTCACATTATTTCATTTTATCCTATTAGCAAACCTCTAAAATAGGTGAGTCATTTTACAAATGAAGAAATTTAGTCTTGGAGGAGTGACATGTCTGTCCGGGCTGCCTGGCTGGTTAGGGTCATGGTATATTCTGCATCCCAGGGCTCTTGTGCTTTGTTTTCTTCATCGACGCGGATTCCCCCTCTCCTACCTATGTATTTTAGTTTGCAGGGGCGCTTCCAGACTGCAAGGCTCACGAGCATCATCTGGGATCTTGTGCAAGTGCAGAATCTGACTCAGCAGGTCCAAGGTGGGTACTAAAAATCTGCATTTCTAACTCTGACAAGCTCTAGGGGATATGGCTGCTGGTCAGGGGAACCCCCATCTTAAAGAGCAAGGGCAGAGAGGATTTTCAAATGAGCAACATGCTTAGTAAACGTACTCTTCTGCATAGAATGCTGACCCCATGCCAGGGACTATGCTAAGCACTTCACAGGCATTTGCTGCTTGTGATAGCCCTACAGGGTAGATACCATGGTCATCCTGATTTGACAGATGGGGCATGTGATGACACTCAGAGAGGTGAAGGAGCTTGTCTATAGGAACTCAGCCAGTAAGCAGAGATAGGAAGACTTGAACTCAGGCTGGCCAGCCCCCACCCCCAAATCCAACCCAGTGTCCTAGCACCTTTCATGAAGACACAGGGACCTTTGTGCTGGGACCAAATGACTCGGGAGCCATGTGTTGCCATGCATAGAGAATTTGATGCATGTTTCTACCATTCACAGATCCAGATGTTCCTAGCAGAGTTTCCAGAGAGATCTCATAAAAATCAAAAGGCACAATCAATTATTTAATTTTCTATAAATTTTCCAAAGTCCATGAGTGGCCCTGGGGAGTGCATCAAAGAGGAAAGTTACAGAGCCATCCGTTTCTCTAGTGAACAACCCTGAACATTGGATGCCACTGTCTCCTCCGTAACCACTTTCTCAGATTCTCAAGTGGGAACTCATTGGACGTTTTAAATAGCAGGAAAGTCATGTTTGAAAATTGTTGGGAGTAAAAGCACACTATGATTTTAATTTATTTGTTAATTCATTTTTCACTTCTCACCCCCATCCCAAGGCAGAATCCCTGCAATGCTTGATTCTCTGAGTCCTAAGAACTCGTTGCCTATTGTCCTTATTTAAGATGAACTGTTGAACTTAATTTTGAAGTCTTTCTATAGGGCTGGGTGCTAAAACATACTCTAGCCTCTCTGGCTGAAAACAACTTTTATCTACCCTCACCGCCACTAAAAATCTATTCTCCACATAGCAGCCAGTGCAATTATTTAAAAATATAAATCAGATTATGTTGCACTTCTGCTCAAAACTCTTCAGTGTACCCCATAACATTTTAAATAAAAGCCCAGTTCCTTACCCAGCCCCACTAACCTCTAGTGATCTGATCTCTTCCGGTAACTCTCCAGCCTCCTCTTAAGCTGTGCCACTTCCCCATCCCCAAACTAGACTCGCATTTGCCATCTGCTCATCTCTGCCCCAGGGCCTTTGCAGCCACTGTATTCCCTGCCTCAGGCCTCTACCCCAGATCTTCCTGGGACAGGCTCCTTCTTATCAGCCTCCAGCCCAGATACTCAGAGATGCCTTCCTTCCCTGACTACTTTCTCTAAAGGAAGACCTCAGTCACTCACACCATCATTGTTTTAGCACAAATCTTATTGCTATTTTTATGTTTTCTTGTTAAATTTATTTGACTGATTCTCATCAAACTCTCTCACCAGAAAGTAGTGCTTAGGAGATGAAAATAGTCAATAAAAATATGTGACTTTACTAACACACTTATATATGATCTCAAGTCTAACCAAAGAGAATACAGCACACCAGAGATTCTCAAATTTTGGTGACTGTCAGCACCATGTGAAGTTTGAGAAAGACATCCTGTTCCCTGAACCTCATGATCCAACAGATCAGAGGTAATCTTCAGATACCTGAAAATTTTTAACTCCACAGGTGATTTTCTGAGTTTGGTATACATGGTGTATGATGTACACCAAACTCAGAAAACCACCAAAACCAACAATGCTGACTATTATCCTTAGAGAATAACAAAAATCAACACCCCAAGAGCTTACATGACTGCCCTATCACCCCTTCCTGTCATCCTTTCATGTCAGAATGTTAGCTATCTTAAATTAATGTTGGATCATTCAAAAACCAATGCAAATCTAGAAACTGGGAGGACACAGATAAAATGCAGAATAAGAGAAACTCACCATTTCATCTCTAGGAGCACTTATTTAGGAGCCAAATCAATAAAAATAGTAACAGAAGACATTATATCATGTTTATTATGTGGCTGATACTGTATTAAGCACTTAGGTATATTAACATATGTAATCCTTATCATGAGGCAGACACTTTTATTTCTTGTCCCATAGATAAGGAATCTATGGATCACAGAGGTTAATTGTCTTGACCCTATACTACCAGCAGGGAAGAGAGAGCTGAGAATGACCACTAACCCTACAGCCTAAAGGACTTATGCATTAAATCCACTTTCTTTTAATCATCAGAGATGTAGATAGAAGCCAACATGCAAGGACACCCTTGCGGTAGTGGCAGCAAGGGAAAAGAGGCTTTGGAGGATGAGTCAGGCAGCGCTGGGTGTGCATCCTTAGGCGAGTCTCTTGACCTCTGGGCATCTCATTGGCTCATCTGCACAGTGGGAGCTCCACCTACTTCCCTGGCAGCAAGTGGTTGTGATGATTCAATGAAGTATAACAACGTCCAAAAACAATTAGTGCATGAACTTCACATCCCCTTTCCTCTTCCCTTGCTGGACGCTAGACATTTCTGAAGTTGCCTGTAGTTTTCCTGCCCCTCATCTCTGAGGTTCCTGAAAACAGCAATTATTAACAAGGGGATGAAGAGGAGAAGGTGAAAGTTTAGCCTAATGTTTCTACAAGTGTAAAGTGAATTCCACTGGAGGCATACAAGATGGCTTGTGACGGTACACATATCAACACATGCCAACTTTTTATTTTAACAGAGTAACTTTCCAAGTAAACAGCAATTTGAATATTTTAAAGTGTATATAATATGTATGTCTGAATGTATATTATATTGTTCATAAAAGTCATAATTTTTAAAACAGTATTGCTAAACATAAGATTTGAGTAGTACCTACAAAGAAAGAAGTGAGTTGCCTATGATAAAATTATTAAATAAAGCCAGACACAGTGGCTCACATCTGTAATCCCAGCACCTTGTGGGGGCTGAGGTGGGTGCATTACTTGAGGCCAGGAGTTTGAAACCAGCCTAGCCAACATGGTGAAATCCTGTCTCTACTAAAAAATACAAAAATTAGCTGGGCATGGTGGAGTATGCCTGTAATCTTAGCTACTCAGAAGGCTGAGGCATGAGAATCACTTGAACCCAGAAAGCAGACTTTGCAATGAGCCAAGATCATGCCACTGCACTCCAGCCTGGGCAGCAGAGCCAGACTGTTTCAAAAAAGATTGTTAATTAACGGAACATAGGCATTTTAAAATTCAGAAAAGGAATCTTTGGATAATTGAAGTTTGAGAAAACCTACACTCAAAAGTGAAACGATTAGAGGAAAGGGGGAGAAAGGCCCAGAAATGAGGCAGGAAACGACGTCAAGAATGCCACTGAGACTGGAGCAAGAGAGAAGCTGCCATCCATGTGATGGGTCAATAGAGAAGGGCAGAGTGAGTCAGGATTCTCAAGAGGTTTGGCTGCGCAATTGGCACATATTCTCTGACCCCTTGGCACTCTCTGGAGAGAGTGCCGTAAATGTTTTCACTGCATTTCACCTGGGTTTCTCAGCCTCAGCATCACTGACGTTTGGAATCAGATCAGTCTCTGTTGTAGGAGGCCATCCTGGACACTGTAGGATATTTAGCAGCATCTCTGGCCTCTTCCCATGAGATGCCAGTAACTCCCCAAATCATGGCACATGACAACAATGTCTCCAGACACTGCCAAATGTTCTCAAGGGGTTGAAATTGCCTGCATTTCCCTCATTTTGTTCCTCTCCACCTTATTTCTTTGATTGTGATGCCACAATGGGACTGAACCACGTGGGGGCCTGGTTTTATGTAGGCTGCCAAGGTAATGTATGTGAACATCCAACCACCATGCCTGGAAAACTGCTCAGAAAAAGGTGCTATTGTACTAGGTTACATAATCCACTAATTCAAGAGCACAAAGAGAGTGTGTTAAGCCTTATGTGCCACATTAACATAAACCACCTTAAACCAAGCTTTCTTAGATGAGCAAAATGGCTTCAGCAATGCTCCCAGGCCCCAGAGACTCCCCATCAGAGAACTTACCATGCTGTTTCATTTTTCTGCTGACTGCTCCTTTCTACCAGGTTGTGAGTTAATCAAAACTTGAAAGCCATATTAGGAGGGCATTGATAAATTCAACTAATGGCTGAGTGAGATTTGTGGCTCATTCCTGCAATCCCAGCAGTTTGGGAGGTCAAGATAGGAAGACTGCTTGGGGCCGGGAGCTCCAGACTAGCCTGGGCAACATAGCAAGATCCTGTCTCTAAAAAAAAATTAAAAATTAGCCAGCCATGGTGGCATGCACCTGTAGTCCCAGCTACTCGGGAGGCTGAGGTAGGAGGATTGCTTGACAAGCCCAGGAGTTGGGGGCTGCAGTGAGCCATGATTGCATCACTGCACTCTAGTCTGGGCAACAGAATGCAACTCTGTCTCAAAAAAAAAAAAATCAACAAATATAAGCATGGACCTCTGACCCAGAAGTTTGCAACTAATAGCACAGAGGTGAAAAGAAAATCTTAAAACCCTAAAGCTCCCTTCTGATTTTGTTTTTCAGCCTCTGAGGTCAGGTAGACTCATGTTCAAATCCTGCATCTTTTATTTGCTGTATAATGATCACTGAGGTTCAGCCTCCTCATCTGTAAAATGGGATAATAATGCACTTTAAAAGCTGTTTTAAAAAGAAAAGTATAAACAATGTGAAGGACTCCACATGGTAGCTGAAATAAGAGGTGCACAATAAATGCTCTCTGTATCCAGCATAGTTTATAAGCAGACCCTGGACAGAACCTCCTTGGTGGTCAGGATTTCTCTGGAAGAAATTTCAGCCCCAGTTTCAATATTCGCCAAGGACAAACGCAAGGTATGTCACTCTTAGACTAAGAAGTGATGCAAAGTAAGCTTTCATGAGCCAAGTGGGAATCCAGAAGCTGCTAAATTGAAATTTTATTTTATAATTAAATTATTCATTATTTGGCATTTTAGGGGCTTTGGCAGGAGGATTCTTAGCATTATATATTCTATTCATTTGTGAAAATTCATTAAGCTTTTGTTTCTGAAAACTTTGTAAGTACTTACAAAATGTTCTTACAGATGCTCCATTTTGCTATCTTGTTAGTTAGGCCACAATAAAACCAAGTCTACACCCCCAGAGCTCTCCCCTTAAGTGAAGAATTTGGATAGTGATGTGAGCTGCTCAAATCAGAGACACATATTTCCCATGAAATACCCCAATAATCAGTTCATTTCTCTAAACAATCTATAGACATAGGCCTGAGCACCAAAATAGATACATGGACAATCCTGCCAGTGTGTCTGTTTGTTTTTAATTAGGGGGAAAAATCCTTTCTAATGTTTTTCTCATTGCTTCTGTCATGTGTGCTGGATTTTGAAGAGGCTGGCACATCCCACTCAGCATCAGAAAGAACACAGACCAAAGTCACAGGTGGTCCTCAGGGTAACTGCCAGAGAGAGGCTGTGAAGGATTCTGTTTATCAGGAAATAAGAAGCTGTTTCCTCACCCTGAAAAGATGGGGTGCTGAACAGAGAAAACTGAGCTGAAATTCAGGACAGCCTGGGACCCGGCATGGCTGAAGGCTCATATGACATGAGCAGTATATTGTCATCTTGTAAGTTCAGTCATACCATCACGCAACTAGCAGAGCTGGATTCTGAAATCGATGTGTGATTTTCAACCCTTGTCCTTGTCTATTGTGGTAACAGGTCACAGCTGCCACAGTAGTGTGCTTCAGGTGACACAAACTCCACCTCAACACCAGCCCCAAGGCAAGTGCCTGGCCCACACCTGACCAACTGGCACCCTCTACCTCTTGGCCACAGCAGCCAGATCCATAACCTAAGGCAGTCCGGGGAGACTCAGTAATGTCCCCTTGAAATCCTAAGACAGAGAGAGGTCCTCCTTCCCCAGGCCTTTGATTACCAAGCTACCTGAGGCTTAAGGGCTGAGGGACCAGTCTGTGAGGGGAGGAACCCAATGTTGAAGAAAGCAGGCAAAAGAAAGAGAAGAGATCTTTGATCCTAGCATTTGAGCACCATGATCCAGCTATGCCTGAAGCTAGTCCAGAATGTAGTTATTGAGCTATTTGATGTTTTTAACCAACAGTATTCTGACACACAAAGAGGCCAATGTATTGATTCTTCAGAGGCCAGTGTCAGGCTTAAGGGGGACAAATAGAAACCAGGTCAGGGAAAGGGGAGAATAGAGGGACTTTGAGTGAGAAGAATGGCTCCAAGCTCAGTGGAGCCATTGATTTGCATAGTGAGTTTACACATTTGCAAAAAGAATTAGCTAAAAACCACATAAACACAAGCAAACCCCTAGAGTAGATGATTCAAAGTAACTTCTGATCTGCCATCCTATGATACTAAGAACAAACAGGCAGAACTTCACTGAAACCTCTCCAATGAAGGTACATAAAGGAAGGTAGAAAACTGGACAACAGAGCCAGTATTTCTTGTATGTGTAGCCGCTGGCCTCCTTTTTGATGACCCTCCATGATTTCTGGATGGAACTGCATCACAGAACTTCTCATGTGCTAGGGTAATTATAAAATATACTAACATTAAGACAATCTGGGTCTTCTTGGCAGCCAAATGCCTAGGGAAAGACAGGTAAAAAGCATCTGAGATGCTCAGTAGAAGCTGCATCTCCAGGGCTTGTGGATTTGAGAGCTCAGAGTCTTTGCAGAAGGAGGCAGAGGTGGTGATTCAGAACTGCATGGAGGAAAGTGGAGAGAAGAAATGAGGAGGACCCAGAAGTCTCGTGGTGACATCTCCTAAGCTGTCTGCTATTTGGGATGCAAAGAAACCTCTTCTCTCTTCAGAAAACCTTCAGTAAAATGCGTGAGTCACTAGTGCTTGGAGCAATGGATTTAGTCTTTGGGAGAGAAACAACAAGATGAATTCAACCTCAAGATTGGCTGACATCACAAACTACCAAAGAAGCAGAAGACATTCAATATTTTTATCTGTCTCCTCTTCCCTCCCATCTTCCCATGATGCCTCCACATTGAGAGGGCCATGAGAAGGCAAACTCTACCTCATTTCTCTCCAAGTTCACCCCAGTGCCTGGCCTACAACCTGGTTCATAGCAGACAGAAAATGTCTGATGACTGAGCAAATGAACAAATTGGAGCAATTTAGGATTTCTGAGTTAATTCATTCAAAAAGATCAACAGTGTAACACAGAGCAACCATGAATTTTAGAAGCCAGCAAGACCTGAATCCCATCTAAAATCATACTTCTCATTGCCTCTCACCAGTATGGGATCATTTATTTCTGTTTCCTCCCCAAGAAAAATGGGAATAATGCTAACATCTAGGTCAAGGATTGTTGAGCTATTTCAACAAAATAATATACACAAGGCTTCTAAGCACAGTGCCTAGCATCCATTAGTATTCATACTATTGCTAATATTACCAAGAAGGAATATTAGTGGGACACCATAGTACATTCTGGGCACAACCCACAGGGCTTCTTAAATAGAAATGTGCACCCAAATCCCCTGGGAATCTTTTTGAAATGCAGATTCTGATCCACAGGCCTGGGGTGGGCCCTGGCACTCTGCATTTCTAGCAGACATCATTGATGCCAATGCTGCTGTTCTGAGGCCCATGCTTGGTGTGGTGAGGCCTCCCACAACCAAGACAGCAGAACAGAGGACAAGCCAACCCACAGCTGGAAGTCACAGCTAACGTGGGTCTTTCCCAAAGCCATTGTATCCACTCAATTCTGTACGACCAAAGGAAACGCCTTGGGAAATCAAAAGGGATCATAATTAAATGAAATTTTCTTGAGTTTTTCTTCATATGGGATTAGTTTCCATCTCCCCTCTGTCATCCTCCTTTGGCAGCCTTTCTCTGTGGCACCCATTTGTTTGGGATGAAATGATGCAAATAGGTGAGTTATCAACATTCTAGACATGGGCATGAATCACCGGCAAACAGTCCACCCTCTGAGTCACTTGTGTCTGAGATGATTCCATCAATACAAAATCCCACCAGAAAACTACAAAAAGAGGGAAAATGAGCTATCAAGCAAGCAAGGCATGGAGCAACGGGAAGAGAGGATGGCTAGTGAGGGTGAGTCAAGATGCCCAGAACTATTTGCACTGGCTCTAGATAAACTAGCACCATTGAAAGAAATGGTTCTCAAATTTGGAGGCAACTGTAAAACTTTAAATATAGTGATTCTGGGTCCTGTCCTTCAGAGAATTTGATTTAATTGGTGGGAGGTGCAGACCAAATGGAGGGATTTTTTTTTTTTAAAGCTCCAATGTGACACTCTGGAGAACGCGCATCAGTCAACTGAGGATGAGAATGCTGTCAGTGCTGGGCATTGTTCATCCCACTAAGTTAAGGGTTTCCCTTCTGTAAAATGGGAAGAATAACTTGCTTCAGGACCATGGTGAGCACCACGGATAAAAAGCGCCAACAGTCTCCCTGGCAAACGTTCATCATTCTTATGTATTTTCCTGCCAGGATAAGACCTTATCTTTTTGAACATATATCTCAACTATAATTTCAAGCCAATTTAGCAAGTATGTCTTCTCTATAATTTCAAGCCAATTTAGCAAGTATATCTCATCTATAATTGCAAGCCAATTTAGCAATCACCCACTTTGCAACTGCTTGTTTTCAGAAGACATTAGACTTCAACTATCCTACTTGACACATAAAACCTGTATCTTCTTTCCGAGCTCACCCTTTTCTTCTCCTCCAAGTCTGAATTTCCTTCTCTTCCGTCAACACAAGCTGAGCATTCAACATGGATCAGGTGCTTGGGATGCAGCAGAGAATAAGACAGCTCGGTCCTCACAAAGTTTACGGGGCAGGTAAAACGACACCCCTTGTATAAGCATAGTTTGGATTCCTCTTCAAAGCGAAAGTTTGCAGGGAAAGGGAACAGCACTCCAGACAGATTGATCTCTTCCTGTGTCTCTATAACCCAATCATTTGGCCTTTCTGTGCCTCAGTTCCCTCACCTGTAACATAAATGGCTCTTGTACTTACCAGCCGACACTGGGTGGGTAAGCAGATTCTGAAGGTGATAAGAACACCTTATCAAGCAGGTTTTTATGTGGCCCAAGACTTCTCTCCCAATCTGTGATCACTTTCCTGATGGAGAAGAAAAAAAGGAAGCAAAGATTTAGGGTGAAGGCAAAAAAATTGTTTTCTGTGTTCTAAAGCTCAGCCAGAAACACTTGAGCAGGTAAGAACTTCCTCCACAACACTGAAGAACAAGAAACAACATGTCACTTTCACTCTCTTAAATCAAATTCTGATGACTTCTCTTTATTCCAGACACAAACAGAGTCAAGACTCCTTTCATTGCAAGCAACAAAATCTCATCTCAAACTTGAGCCAAAAACAATGTGGAGAGAGGGTACTTATTCAGGCCCTGTTATGTCTACATAGTGAAATGATGTCATCAGAAATTGTTACTTCTGTGTCCCCCAAGAATATTCCCCTCTTTTGCTTCTCTCTAACAGGTTATTTTCACCATCAACTCACCAACTCCAGGAGAAAAACTAGCTACTCTTTCCCGATAGTCTCCCTGTTCATGTCCCTCCACCTCAAAAAAACAATATAAACTTCAGGCCAGCTAGCTCAGATCTATGCCAGTCTGAACTAACCACTATGGCCAGAATCTTCACTCAGGCCAGGATAAAACCCCCACCTTGGAGTTGGTGATGGGGCAATCGCCACACCCAATCCACATGGACCAGCAGAGATGGAGAGGAAGTCTCACAAAAGAGAACTGGGTGCTGATTCAAAAGAAAAAAAGCCAGCAAAACCAGTCACTGTCCACTTTTCTCTCTTATTCTACTTTCTTGTTCCCCAATGCTTTGGCCCTTTTATAGGCTTTATTTACACAATCCACTCATTCTGGCAGTCTGCAGGAGTTCTTTTTCTTCCTTAAAATACAACTGGTAATTTCTAGATAGCAATTTAGTACAACTATTTTAAAATACTAAACCACCTTCTAAAAATTATATGCAAAACCACAGATACACATGATAGGAAAAATGCTTAGTTTTGTATTGGGTAGTCCTACAAGTTTGGTTTTTAGTTCTTTTTTTCTAACATTTAAGGACTTGCATAAGCTAGCCTGTTAAGTGGTTTGTTTCTCATATCTAGTCTTGCCCTTGGTTTCATAATACCACTAGAGAGAAGCTTTGATTTTTTGGGGGCCACAGTACTGCTCAGAACTAATCAAGTGGATGTGTGTTATGAACAAGAAAAATATAAGTAAATAGTATCTTAACTCTTAAAGCAGTAATATCAAGTAAAAATGGGTGAACTATTTCCTCAAATTTCACTTCACTTTTAATTATCCTTTTCCACTCCAACTTACACACGTACAGCTAGATTATTATTAAAAATAAAAAGGTGTGCATGCAAATTTTCTTTTATTTATTTATTTGTTTTTGAGATGGAGTCTCACTCCGCCACTCAGGCTGGAGTGCAATGGCATTATCTCTGCTCACTGCAACCTCTGCCTCCCAGGTTCAAGCGATTCTCCTGCCTCAGCCTCCCTACTAGGGATTTCAGGTGCCTGCTACTACATCCAGCTAATGATTTTATTTTTAGTAGAGATGGGGTTTAATCATGTTGGCCAGGCTCGTTTCAAACTCCTGACCTCAAGTGATCCTCCCACCTCAGCTTCCCAAAGTGCTGAGATTACAGGCGTGAGCCACCACATCTGGCCTATGCAAATTTTCTAGTAGGAATTTTTGAAAGAACCAAAAGTGAAAAGCCAAAATGTCCGTTCACTGGTGAAGGGATAAACAAAATGTGGCACATCTGTATGATGAAATAATATTCAGCTACAAAAGGACTGGACAGCATTTGCAACAAGATTGACCCCCAGAAACATTCTGCTAAGTGAAAGAAGACAGAGATGCAAAAGACTGGATTCTATATGAAATATCTAGAAAAGGCAGATTCATAGAGGGTAGACTCATGGTTTTCTGGGCCTGGGGGAGGGAGCAGGGATTAACTATAAAGAGGTCTGGGGGGGTCTTACTGGGGTGGCCGAAATGTCCTGATACTGGAATGTAGTGATGGCGTCACAACTCAGTAAGAAACTAAAACATAATTGACTGTTTACTTAACATGAGGAAATTCTATAGTAATAAACTATACCTCAACAAAGTTGTTCTAAAAGTTAAAAGCTGTAAAAGAAATAGACAAATGAAATGAGACAATATGCATGTTGCTCCATTGCAATGGTCAGCGACCCGCCTACCCGTATTTGCAGGATATCCAGACCATCCCCCTGAAGACACTCCAACACCTTATACTTTTACTAGAATCAGAGAGAGAAGGTTCCGTTCTGCTCATATCTACCTCCAAGAACAAATTAGGTCCCAGCTCTTTGAGACCAGGGACAACCACAGGGAGAATCCCACTATTCCAAAATTATACCCCACTCCAAAGTGGCCCAGACTCCCAGTACATCATGGCCAGGCCCCTTACTTACTGAAGCTGCAAGCTTCCAGGGCACAGACCTTCCACAGCTTGGCCTCTTTTTGGCAACCTAAAACCACCACTGGAACCTACTCCCAGTTCCATGCCAGACTCAACCCCCACAGGATATTTCATTCATCTCCTACTTACATCACCAGATAAAATAGAGGATGCCCAGTTAAATCTGATTGCAGATAAACAAACTATTATTTCACATAGTTTAAGTGTATTCCAAATATTGCACAGAAAATACACTAAAAACCTATGTGTCATTCATTTGGCAGCACTACAAAGCAACTCAATGAGGTGATTCAAATGAGATATATTTTTGTTTGCTAAATTGAGCAACTCTATCCCCACAGCTATTTTCTGTTATTCCTTGGGACTTTTCTTTTCCCTGTACCTAAGTCTTAGGGGGAACTCCATCCTCCAAAACACAGTAAGTCTTTCTAACTTAAAATCTCAGGGAGGCCCTGGCTGGCTGGTTTACTCCCCTCACTGTGCTGCTTTCACACTTCCCAGGAGCAGCCTGGGCAGTTTCCACATGGAGCAACAGACATTCTGGGTTCATAGGACCGGAGCACAGAGGGCTTGTTTAAGAACAGGGGTGACATGGCTGGAGAGTCAGACAGTCATGGATGAAGGAGGACCTTATGTGACATCCTGAGGGCTCTGGATGGATGGATTTCTCTAAGTGATGGAATGCCAAAAATGAAATCTGGGTCATGAAGTAATACAATGTGTTGGATGTGTAGGAATGATGACTTGGGTGATAGAATAGAGCAGTTAGGAGGCAGTGGTAACAGACCAGATGAGAGATGGCCAGCTCTGTGATTATTAACAGCATTACTCATTTCCACGTGTCATAATCTCGAAAGCCTTCTATACTTGTATCTCATTTTCCTGTTGGAATAGTTAAAGGCATTGTTGAACATAATCAGAGCTTCCTGAATTGAACTGTTCTGTGGAGAGCTATGTGCCATCATTTTCCGTCTGTTTCTGTTTATTATAAAGATCTCTCAAAATAATCATGGAATTTGCTAGATTTTACTATAATTGGCTATAAAATGACAAAAAAAAATCACTGCATTCAAAAAAAATCCCAGGGAGAAGCAACAGTGTTGTCAACCTTTTGCCTTCCAGAAGCCCCCATAGCCTGTTATGTTAACTGGTCCTCTCACCCACAAGCTCTGTATTTCAAAAGTAAGAACAGCCTTGCTAAGCTTGTTTAGTCCTAAAACACTTTCCTTTCCCTTCCTGCTGATCAAGGGAGCCTCCTTACATCAATCAAACTTGTGTACCTAAGAGGAACCTAGAGCATCTCTCTGGTAGCCTCTTTTGCTGAAAATATATATACATCTTTTTAATGCATGCTCTATCTTTGCTCAAGAAGTACCTGTTAGTGTTAATGTTTACAATTTCTCAAGCAATCACATTGTGCTGGGCTCTTTGCAGGTGTTATTTCTAATCTCAACAATAACCTTGCAAAGAGAGTATAACATTCCCATCTTACAAAGGAGAAAGCCCAGGCTCAGAAAGTCATGTCACTCCTGCAGCCCTTGATTTAGCACTGTATTAAAGCTCCCACAACAGTTAGGAAGATATGATTCTGACACTATTCTAGTCTCTGAGGTGAGGGACTGTGGCAAGCAGTCATGACTATAACAATAAAGAGAATTAATACCCGCTGGGAGGCCACCGTGCACCAGGCACCATTCCAAGTGCTTTAAGTTGACCAACTTATTTAATTTCATGTTTATTTAAATCCTCTTCATGCCTCAGGTGCCAGACACTGTGCTAAACTTTCTGCAGAGATCTGAATTTGTGCCATTTGAGTTCATCATGTCATTCTCTCTTTTCATTTTATCTAATCTTAAAAAAAAACAAAAACAGAAATTCTCCTCATTTTGTTGGTGCTGATACAGAGGCTCAGAGACACAGGTAACTTAGCTAGGGTCACACAGCTAGAAAGCAGCAAAGCCAAGATGCACACCCAGGTCTGAGCTAAAAGCCTGAGCTGTTTCCGATTCAAGGAGTAAAACAGGGGTGGGGGGAATATCATCCTCATTTCACCATAAAAATACATTGTCAAAGGACTTGAAAGTACACACCATCTAATAAAGGAAACACTAGTGTGTGTTTAGAAAAGAAAATAACCAAACCTCAAAGTCTAAAATGTTTGTCTCATATCCAAGAGCAATTTTGATAAAATGAACATACCCTTTTAATGGATAAATTCAAACTTCTGAAAAGAAAAAGACCAAAATCTGTCTAGTTTTACCTTCCTATGACTGGATGTTCAGTACAAACACACAAAAAGATTAAATTAACTTGGACGGAAAATGACTGTTGCCTGGAAAAAAAAAACTTAGTAATTATACATTCTTCAAAATGAAAGGTCAGACTGTCCTGCCCCATTGAAATTGTCACACAAGCCATTAGCCATTTAAGCCAATGAAGTTCTGTCTTCGATGTTTTGATCGATTTCAAAAGCTGTTCTGAGTTCCCAGTGCCTGGCTCTTCTCGGTTCTGAACACTGTGTGCAGGGAAAAAGCCACACTAGAAGAGCAAACCACTGCATTGGGTGAACACTTTATGAGCAGAGATGCCAAATCTGAGACACACTGTCCCTTGTCATTTGGAGT